TTTTACCCAGCACTGGGTTGTATTTAACCCAGCATTTTTTAGAGTGTAGCAAAATTATTATAGAAGGAAGAAGTTTGTGCAATCTGCTTGGTTGTTCTGCTCTATTTATAAATTGAAGCTACAGGCTAACTGAATGCAGTCAAGCTGATGGCGGTGAGCTGGCAGCCCCTTCTTGTTTCACAGTGCCAGTGGGGTTTTGAGTAAACAATCTGTCTGGCTCAGAACAACACATCACGCCGCATGCTCTTGTGTGCTTCACCGCCGAGTAATAACTGCTGAAATACATAGAGCAGCTGTGAGAAGTTTATTACTCTGTTAAGGTATTACAGGAATAGTTCACCCAAAAATGAAAGTTACTCACCCTCAAGTCTTTCGAAACCTGTATGACCTATTTTGTTCTGTGGAACATTAAAAAAGATATTATGAGAAATGTCTCAGTGTTGTTTCCTCTCACACACAATGTTAGTTGGATGTTAACTTTCTTCACAATATCTTATTTCTACAATACAGGTTTGAAATGACAAACTTTCATTTTTGGGTGCACTGTCCCTTTAATGAACGCTTGAGCAACTTACAAATGGGTTATAAACTTCCGTTTTTTGTGAAAATGATTTGTTGAACTCGATAGATTTTCTTTGTCAGTTCCTGGTTTAAACTGTTTCTGTTTGTAGCTGTGTGTACATTTGACTTTACAGGCTTTTCATGCAGATGTAATGAATGATTTTGATTCTCCATTTAGATGTAATGTGCCCATCTTTCGCATAAACTATTAACCACTTCCACTTCCAAGCCTTTTCCCATAGGAATTTGTTCTTTGATTTGTAAATTATCAGGTTTGCTTTCATTTCTGCTGGATTGTTTTTTTTTTTTTTACTTGCCCTGCCAACATTTTCATTGGCTCCAGCACAAAATAATAAAACATTTTTATTTTTAGCCATGCATTATTATATTTTGCACAAAGCATTCTTTTAAAGAAGGGTCTTTATCATTTTTTTTTTTTTTTACAAAATAGTTTGAAAAAAGAAAAAATTAAGCACATCAAGCTGAAATGTTTTGTCTATAATTTAACCAAAAATTCACAAACACACTTCTGCTGGAGATAGATAGCATATTCTAAGCATTACTGGTTGGTTTGTTGTTTTCAACACATTCTTACTGATGCTTTCAATATTGTCTCAACTCAGTTATGCAAATTCGACCAAACCTGTGTTGACCATCTGGATAACTTTATTTTGGTGACAAATCATCAGAATTTTCAACAACAATGTAGAATGCAGAAAACCAAACATTAATGTTTGCTTTGCAAGACATACAAAATATCAGATGATAGACTTGAAACTCGCTATGTTATGGATAGTTACAAGCTGTTGTACAACTGTATAAAACTTTACACTTACTAAACAGAGCAAACAAACCAAACAATATAACAACAAACACAATGTACTTGATATAGACACAGTATAATTAAGAAAGCCTAGAACATTTCTGATTTATATATTTATTTATTTTATAATTTTATTTGATTCAGGATTCATTTCAGTGAACATAATGTATTTTAATAGTTTTAGTTAACGATAACCCTGCAGCATTCAAATATACAGTTCAGCAGTCATTATACAAAAATATTTGTCCTCTCAGTGACACTATTGATCAGTCAGAATCAAGCTCAGAGAGCTCTGTAACAGTATCTAAATCTAATTTTTTCTCTTTTATGTCGTGTGTTGAAAAGGGTGAAGATGGGAGTTAGGAGTGTGTGCTGTATTTTACTCATCTCTCTGATAAAGCCTTCCTCTGCTCACGGTGATTTCTTCACATCCATTGGTATGCAGCCTTTTCACCTTTTTATACATTTATCTTAAATGTTCCTGTAGATTCTAACAGGCAGCATAAGCCTCTAAACCCCTGTGTTCATGAATGTTTACCACTGCAAGTTGTGCTATTAATAGAACATTAGAAGATGCAGCTAACAGGTGTTGTGGAGAACTAGGCCAGTCATTCACTAATCACCGATGCTCGGTTTAACCTGTGCTCTGTGTTGGCAGGTCACATGACAGATTTGCTGTTCACAGAAAAAGACCTGGTGACGTCATTGAAAGACTACATCAGATCCATTGGTATGCAGCCTTTTCACCTTTTTATACATTTATCTTTGAAATGTTCCTGTAGATTCTAACAGGCAGCATAAGCCTCTAAACCCCTGTGTTCATGAATGTTTACCACTGCAAGTTATGCTATTAATAGAACATTAGAAGATGCAGCTAACAGGTGTTGTGGAGAACTAGGCCAGTCATTCACTAATCACCGATGCTCGGTTTAACCTGTGCTCTGTGTTGGCAGGTCACATGACAGATTTGCTGTTCACAGAAAAAGACCTGGTGACGTCATTGAAAGACTACATCAGAGCAGAGGAGAGCAAACTGGAGCAAGTGAAACAGTGAGTAGCAAGTATAACAAGTATAACTCATACCTGTTTGAATTGGCAATGACTGATTTTGTTCCAATTCAATGCTTAAGATTACGTTCCAATTCCGATTATATGTTGATAAAACTTGACTATAGTAATATCTAGGGGTGTAATAATATCGTTAATATGTCATTATATTATCATTGAGATACTATTATATTTTTTATTCATATTTTGCATTAGTTTTTATTTTTTTGTTTTTGTTTTAACTTGACAAAATTTGAGTAATTATTATTATTATTTTGTCATTTATATTAGTTTTAGCAGGTTTAGTTATTTTAGTGCATCAAGTTAAACTAAATGAGAATGTTTCCTTGGCAAATAGCTGACTAAAATACGTTTTAGATTTAGATTATAAACTGTTACATAGCTCTCTGAGCTTGATTCTCACTGAGTCACTGAGAGGCCAAATATTTTTGTATAATGACTGCTAACTGTGCATTTCACTGAGCTGTCATTGAATATGTGATATGGTTTAACAACCTTTTTTAAAAATTACTTTTTTATATTTATTTTTCTGCATAAATGTACTTTTTTAAAGTACATAATTTTGCTGTTTATGATCTAATGGGGATACTAGATGTGAACATTTTAGAGAGCACAGATTGCTTATCTCATAACACAAGCCAGTGTTAAACTGTCATCAGACAATTAATGAGCCATTTTACTTTTTTTTTTTTCCCCCAGTCTTGTAGTGTGGCATTGTTTCATGTAGCATCATGATCCTGGAGCAACATTTCGTTTTACTCTGTACAAGCTGTATGTGATTGAAATGACAATTAAGCCGCTTTGACACTGTGTGTGTGTGTGTGTGTGTGTGTTGTCAGGTGGGCTAAGAAGCTGGATGCTTTAACAGCCACAGCCACGCAGGACCCAGAGGGGTTTTTGGGTCACCCTGTCAACGCCTTTAAACTCATGAAGAGACTAAACACAGAGTGGGGTGAAGTGGAAGACCTTGTGCTCAAGGACATGTCTGACGGTTAGTATCAATGTAATTCAACTCATTAACGTCTTTTCATTCAGCATTTACAGCTGACAACTTGTTATGAAATATTTATTTTAAAATATCAATATTAGGTGACACAACTGGAAAACTCAGAAATACTGAAAATATTACAACTTGCTAACAACACCAAGCAACATGTTAAAAACATTCAAGCAAAGCCTTGCAACATTCTTTACTCTTCTTAAGGTTCTAACATTTTCTGATTTTCTGGGTGGGGTGGAGTGGTGTGGCGGTGGTTCTGATAATGGACTCTGAAGTACTTGATGTGGTTTCTAGGTGGTCTACAGAGGTTTAATGTGCTCTGAAAGTGGTTTAATATGGCCTGTTTTGTGTTTTTATTGGCCTTTCTTTTACATTTTTTTTCCAAACTATTTTTTCAAAGCTTTTAAACTACTTTAAACATTCAGACAAGGCTTTGTCAAGCCAACATTAAAGTCATTGCTTTGTATTTTTTGGTGCTTGACAATTCAAGTTACTGTACATTTTTGTTGTATGGAAAAGTCCAAAAAGTTTGAAATGATACAAGACAAACATCATGACAAATGTTTCATATTTCTCAGTACTTAGATCACTTTAAAAAAAAACAACAATTCAAACTTTTTCAAGTTCAACACATAACAATACAGAATTTTCCACATTTCTTCCATAATACCACATTAAAGTATATTCCAAATTTTACAAAATGAGATGCTGTCAAAATGATGAGATGTCAATGGCCAAACTTCTAGTTAATTGGTTTGGTTAGTCCAGTAATTTCAGTGGATAATCTTCGGGTTTTCGTTCATTTTAGGAACATATTCTCTCATAATTTTTGTCTTTTTTCAAACGTTATAAGATGAACAGATTTAATTTAAGCATTTATTTACATAAACATTGATCAGGGCATATACATAGAGTACATCAAATATGATGAACAGAAACTCAGATGAGCTTGCATTTTTTTAACATAATAATATGTAATATATATGTGACCCTGGACCACAAAACCAGTCATAAGGGTCAATTTTTCGAAATTGAGATTT